CAAACAGTGTATACATACTTTTGGGACACCCTGTAGTTCTGCTTCAAATAACCGCGAAACGGTTTAGAAGACGAACAGGCACTTGTTTTGGTTTAAGTGGCATTACATTTTGTTGCTTATAGCAAGACCAAGGCAGCAGAGTGGCTTTCAAGCCCCCTCCACTAACTTTTTTCGTATATTAAGTACATCTTAGGTAACTATGGCCAAGTAGGTAGTGGCTTTCTGAAAATGCAAACGAAGTCCCCCTTTATTTTCGCAAAATCTTACGAAGTCTTCTTGACCCTAAACCTTAAACGTAAAAACCCTAAAAAACCGTCACCAAAAAATAACCTAAGTTGTGTTTCTTCGGCCATAAAAACAATATCCCCTATGCTTTTTGTCTCAAAAACGACACAGCTTGCGCCACCTGTGCCGAGCCTTGCAGATAACTAACTTCGAAGCAAATTCTAGTAGACTACGAAATCTCAATATCCAGAAAGTACGAAATCTCATTATCCAGACAATGCTTCAGCATGCAATTTGGAAGCAAAAAATACCTTTGAATTTGAAAAGTAGATTGCTTAGCAGATTCGGAAGGTCGTACTGTAATCAGCGTCTAAAGACCTCTCGATTTGTATACATCTCATTGGGAAAGGCCACTTCGAAAATGCAGTTACTGGTAAGCTGGTACTAACTCTTTTCGTGTGTGAAGCCAGCACTGATATAGACGTAGTAGAAGGGTATGTTCTATTCAATCCTGTTCACTTTCAGTTCCCCAATCGCTTTGACCTTGCGTCAGCATGACAAGTAACACGCCTCATCAAGTGTCAGTAACCGCGCACTATCACACAAACTTCAAGACCAGAAGGTGAGAAAACAGCGAAAAAGCGAGTGAGATGGACAAACCTGATAGTCGTGGTACGCGACTGGTCCAATGACCATCGCTTCTTGGCAGAGGGGGAGCAGACCACATTTCATGCTGGCAACTGCCGACACCACCGCTGTGTGCATATGCAGAATACATCGCACATCCGATCGTGCTGAATGTATTGCCGAATGCAGCATTAAACCATTCTGAAATAAAGTAAGTTGTAGAAGAGTGGCGTCTTTTAGGTTGTAGAAGAGTGGTGTCTTTTCTAAGGTTTTTTCCTGACAGAGGTTGCCGCCATAAAATAGCAGAAATCGCATCGCTCATAATAGGCAAACAGCCGTGAGTCCAACTAACGCAAACATTGTAACATGATAGCATCTAACACTGATCTCTGCGCAGATAAAGATAGCGATACACCTGAGATGCACTTGAATTATGGTTTTTACTAGTGAAGCTGCTTCGTAGGGCTAATAAGGAATTATCTGGACTTGGATGAGTGTCATCTTTCAAGTAAATTTTGGACAAATTCGCCTTCCGAAAGCTCCAGGTTTTGACTACAAAATAATGTAGTTCCAACAAACCAGGAAACATGCCTTTCTGTATAAGCTGAGAGCCCTTTGAGAGCTTTTTAATGATTTGTAACTGTCATTTGAATTCCATTTTCTGGTTTTCGCCTTATCACTTCATAACCACTAAAAGGGTTGCAGTTTTCCAACTTTTTGTGATAGCTCCGCTCATCGTCATTTTTGACATCAAATATGCTCCTAAGAATTCTGATGCGAGCTCTTCTTTCCTTTAACAACCAGCAAAACGTAGAAATCAAGGTGACGGGTTTTTTCCCTTGTTCGGCATGGACTAATAATCCTGTCAACCAGTCTAATGCAATAATTTACGTCAAAAATAGCGAAAAATCTATTCAATAAAATGTCCAATGATTTCGAACTCATCACCAATTTCACCTCAAATTCCTGGACTGAAATGTGACACACATTGAAATAGGACGTATCAATGCGTTTTCAGGTGCTTAACATATTCGTAACACCTATGTTGACCGATCCGTGCGCACTAATCTCTGACGTTCTAGGGCAAGCGCAAAGGTCAATAAAACGATGAAGAGGATTGATAAAATATTTGAAACTTACAATATACGCAGCCATCTTTGGGCTATATGGATTACAAAACAAAATGAAAACCATGCAGCACAAATTGCGTTTATCGGTGCAATTGGAATAGATATTTAAAAGATTTTGGTTGGAAACACCCCTCATATAAATGTACTTACACATATTGCTTAACAGCATAAAAAATGTTATATAGATTTTGGAGGATTTATACTATAAGGATTAATTAATTTGGTCGAATGGTAATTTGGGACTTTGCAACTTGAACTTGTACATGAGTAAGAATATTGTACATAAGTTAAAAATTTGTGTTTTTTTCCATAGAGATGCCCAATTACTATTTATCTTAGCGCCCTCAACAAAATTACTCAAAGCATGAATGAGAAATATTCAATGAATTCATAATTTAACCGTAAGTCTCACCTGATTTATTCCTAGCTTTGTAGTTCCAGGGTCGACAATTTCACCCTGCAGGTTCACTTTGACTAGGCTGCTAGCGGTGATTTCGTGGTACAGCAAACCAAATGGATTCACCAAGATATGGTCATCATCATTCGGTAGACGTAGCTAAACCTTATTTCTACAGTACAGTTTTTCAAACCGATGCGTAATTAACTACCGTGATGTGATTGTAGATCCCTTGAGACCACTGAAATAAATCTACGAGTCGATAGAGTGACGCGAGCTTGTTTCTTAACAGCTTTTCCTGCCTTGAGTAGTTGTCATTACCCTTCAGATCCGCTATCGGAATAGCAGATCCAGCTGAAATTGCGAAGATTTGATTTGGTATGCGTTTGGGAGAGAAGACACAGAAGTCTAACAGGCGGAAGTGCGTGGCATGCAAAATCCAGTGAGAACAGCTATTTTCTAGTTTTTGACGAAACGGATTGCGTCATTTTTGCGATCATTCCAAGGAACTCTCACTTGCTGATTTGGGATATCCTTGAACTCGACATGTTTCCTTAGCAAGAAAAAGAGAACACGCTGGAATGGCAGGGACTCCACCATAATTTTGTGGGGCACTGACCACATGTCAGTGAGCTTTTTGTGATGCTTGTCTATTTTTTCTGCACATGCAAGAAAAATGAACATTT